CGCAATTCTAAGACATCAATTCTTCTATAATCTTTCATCATTGTCCTTCTCTCTAATGCATAGCAAGTAATTGCATACCTTAGTCTCTATAGACTGACATTATTGCTCTTTAGCATTTTGGAGAGATCCCTGGCAACAGATTTCTAATTTGTTTTTTGATTTCCTGACTGCTGATGCCAAGAGCAGTGGTAAGGAATTGTGTGGCCAATGCAAATTTAGTATATGTTTGTATATGAAAAATTTTTGGTGATACCATATTTAACAAAGACTAGTATACTAAATTAGAAATTATTAAAACTATTGTCTCCCAAGTTAGAAATAGATAATCCTGGTAAGAAATTCACTTCCTTTCCAATTCTATTTTTTTTTCTTTTACAGTTGCATATGTTGTTGCTTTGTTTTTTTTTACTTTTTAAAATTCATTTTAATGAACATTTACAGAGATTTTGGATTTTCATTCATTCATTGTTGCACTTTTTCCTTTACCCCCCTCCCCCCAATTCTTTTTCATTCTTCTGATTATAGCAAGAAAGTCTCAAGTTGATACTAGTGCTGGTATATATTTTGTGCTATAATCAGAAGAATTGAAAGAGAATTGAAAAGAATGGGGACTTCTCACCACATTAATGTCATCTTTTTGTTAAATCATTCATTATCCCTGTAATATTAGCCTAGTTAATTAACTACTTTGCTTATCAGTTTTCTTACTTGCAAAATGGGGATAATCTTGTTTAAAAGGTTTCTTTGAAGATTAAATGAAATGAAGTATGCAGAGTACCTAGCACAATGCCTGCAAAAGAATAAATATTCAAAATATTGACATAATATTAAGTAGAGTTGGAAGCAGGAGTGGCATCCTCTTCCTAAACACCATGCCTCTGGAAACACTGTGAACTTTGATAAATGTCAATAGTTGTAGAGGGGCTTCAGGCCTTTTGTTCATAGGTTCGCTCTAAGATGTGCTTGACTCAAAGGTGATCGTCAACATTAAGTAGAGAATGTGTAGGAGGCAATTAAGTCATAGTGGACAAAGCACATTGTGGGCATCCATCAGATATTTATTTAATAAACACAAAAGATTTAGATATGAATTGTTCGCAGAGTACTTTGAAGGCTCATTTTCTAACCACTGAAGATTTTTGAATGGTAAAGTTAACAGATACAGGTGCAATTGTGGAAAATAAACTTGTCAGTTGCTAGTTAATTCAGTGATAAAAAAAAAAAATCAGCAGCTCTTTTAAACAAACAAGACCAGGCAGGGTGGCTCCCCATCCTCACAGAACTTGGAAGACCCATAATTTTTAATTATAATTTTTCTTAATAAAGGATGGGGTTCCACAATCAACACTCTTGTCACCAGCAATCAGAAAATCAAAAGGTGAACTGCACTGGGGATGCCTACTGTCGGGGACTTCTCCAGAATGCTGAAGAGCAATGATACCAGTCTAGAGACTAAGGTGCACCTGATCCAGGACATGGTCTTCGCATTTACTTGCTATGCGTCAGAGAGCTGGACATGACTAAGGATGACAGAAGAAGAATAATCAATGCTTTCGAGTTGTCGTACTGGAGAAGAGTATTGAAATGTTTATACTGTGGACCACTAAGAAAACAAATCATTTGTTTTAGAGAAGGTGATACCAAGTTTCTCCTTGGAGGCTAGGAATTTGAAACTTCATCTCATGTACTTTGGGTACGTGGCCAGGAGAGACTTGGTTCATCTCATGCTCAGAAGGGTGGAGGGGAAGACCCAGATGAGATGGATTGATACAGTAACTGGTGCAGTGGGGGTTGGTGTATCAGAATCGGTGAGACTAGCTCAGGACAGAGTGGGCTTCAGAGCTGTTGTACATAGTGTTGTTAAGAATCACAGGTGACTAGATGACAAAGAACAACAGCAGCAGTTGTTATAGTTTAGGTGCAATTATTACAGTTTGTTGTTGTTATCTGCTGTCAAGTAACTTAGACTCATATGTACAACAGCCTTAAACCCAGCTCTATCCTGTGTCAAACATATTGTCTCTGACACACCTAACCCTACAATCCCAGTGACTGAATCAATCCATCTCATCAAGGGTCTTTCTCTTCTGTGCTGTCCCTCCACCCTCCCAAGTATGATGTCCCTCTCCAAGGACTGATCATTCCTTGCAGCATGTCCAAAGTATATCTGTTAAAGCCTCAGAATCCTTGCCTCCAAGGAGCAGCTTGGTATCACTCTCTTTAGGGTGAACCTTTTGTTCCCCTAGCAGTCCATGGTATATTCAGTACTCTTCTCCAACACCACAGTTCAAAGGAATCAATTCTATCACCCCAACTACAATTGTCCAGCTTTCTGATGCACAGCAAGTAATTGCAAAGAATATGGCCTGGGTCAGGCACACCTTAGCTCCAGACTGACATCATTGCTCTTCCATACTCTGGAGAGGTCCCTGACAGCAGACTTTCCCAGTGCAGTTCATATTTTAATTTTTTGGCTGCTGGTAACAAGACTGTTGATTGTGGAGCCAAGCAAACAGAAGCTGTTAACCATTTCAATCTCTTCAACATCTATCATGATGCTGCTAGTTGGCCCAGTGTTGAGATTCTTTGTACTAATAATAAATGCTTTGGAAGCAGTGAATAAGTTGAGAATGAGAGCATAGGGGGGGGCTTTGTGGTTATGAAGGAAGCATTCCTCTTTCTTCTTTTAAAATAAAGATAAGAATCCACAATATGAGGAATAAATTATAAGTGAAAAAGGGTGTGACTAAAATACTGAATATAAATCAGTAATGGATATTGATTAAGAAAGAGCTAGTATAATTTGTGGTATGACATGTGAGGAAAGACTAGAGGGAATTTAAAGCCTCAGATGGTATAGTCCAAAGCATAACTTCAAACTACCTCAGTTAAGTACACAAAATAAATAGAAGAAATAATTTTGTCTGTTCTCTTTTTTTATATCTTCTACATTTTCATTTTTCAAGTAAATACTGAAAAATTTGAAATATTCCTATCCTTAAAAAGTTTATGCCTAGTTTAGTTAAGACTCACAAAAAGAAACAATTGGCGAAGATATAAGCATAGCATTTTATAGATGGTAGACATTTATAGGAAAGAATAAATAAAAACTAATTTCTCCAAATGTGAGTTATTTTCCCATGCCATAGCTCCAGATCCTGTTATTTATTTGAGTTGATGAAATTTCCCTCTTAAAGAAATTTTGCTTTGATGAAATTTCCCTCTTAAAGAAATTTTGCTTTGGAGCACTTTTTTTTTTTATCATTGACTCAATGCAAAACCATTTGCCTTAAATAGAAGTTTAAAACAAACCTAGTAAAGGCAAAATAATATTACAAAATTCTTGCTAAATATTTTTTGTGTGTGTATTGTCTTTTATCAAAATATATAGCTGCACTAGTACCAAACCAAGATTATCTTCTCAATATTATCAGAAGATTGGAAAAGAATTGTAAAGACAGTGAGTTTCTAAGGATTTTGTCTCTAAATATGGCTTTTCTAGTATAGATGACTGACTATGGAAGAGAGTGACTATGCTAATGGGGCATGTTGGCTTATCCACAAAGGGATTGGCTGTCTATCATTCCAATAATTCTATAAGAAGGTTGGCTAGTCTCACCAATAAATTGAACAGCTCTAGTTGTGGAGATGGAATTCTTCCTTCTCCAGAAGAGGAAAGAGACCTCCCCCAGTCTGGTGAAATGAGTAGCAGCATGGTGGAACCAGAGACACGATGTGAAATGAGGCCTGGGAGCAGTGAGGGAGAGCCAATATTGGCAAGACTGAGAACTTTATTGGACAATTGAGAGGAAAGCCAATATTGGCAGAACTGAGAACTTGGGAACCCTGAGAGCCATGAGGCTTAAGGCTGAAGTTCCTGCGTGTACATTCCAGGAATTGTCTTGACTGAATTCTGTTATTTATCTGGATTATAACCTTTTGACTTCCCCAGTATGACTCTGTGTGGTCTGTGAGCTATCACATTGTATTTTGGACCTAGCAAAGCAATAAGATTGGTATTGAGATGAGTAGAAAGAGGCATGGGACTGTGGGGAACATGTCTGACCTCATGTGAATTGGTTTTGTGTGATTGATGCTATTCATGGGGACAGTTTCCCTCTGTCAAGTTGTTAAAGATCAGATATGGCTGTTCGCATGAGGCTCTTGCTCTTTTTACAGTTTTCCATCATGTAGTTTAGTGTTGTTTGTGTGTGTGTGTGTTATATCTGTAATTTATTCATATTTTGTGGTATATATATCTCATACATTGGGAAATACAATTTTAGAGCATACTCTTAATTCATCAAATGAAATAAATCCTACAATAACTGTGAGCATAGGGTAATATATGAGATAGGAGAAGGTCCTCTGGAAACGAATGTGTTGAATGAATAGGAGAAAGGCAGATACAGAATATTGGCAAGGCAGTGGTGAGATGTGGTTATAGTAGTTGGGATAAGAATGGGAACTCAAGAGATAAACTATGGCAAGTTGTGCCTTCTGATGTTTGTTTAGCAACTCTGTTGCTAAGTAGCAGAATTATAATTTGAAGACTTACTTTTGAAATCAGAAAAGGAGGGAGACTGAACTAGACTGAACTTAGATGTTTTCGAGGTTGTTTTTAAGTGCTCATCTACTAACCCAAAGGTTGGTGGTTTTGAGCCCATCCAGAGTATCCTCAAGAAAGGCCTGCCAGTTTGCTACTGAAAGGCCACAGTTCTGACAACCCAAGGAAACAAAGTTCTCTGTTCTGCATACATGGATCACCTTGATGGCAATGGGTTTTTCCAAGAGTTACTTTGCTTTCTTGGTTATTTTTAGCATGTTAATGTTATTATCTAATTGGTAATCTTGTATTATATATAGATTAGAAATAAACCAATGAGGGTTAAAACTCCCCCAAAGAGCTCTAGAGACATCTTCAATCTCAGGATTGTGAGTCCTTCAGAATATGTGTTGAATTTGATATTGTGTGTTCTCAATATCTTTTGAAAAATTAGGTTCAATTCTGAAGAAAGCAGCTGAAAAATATGACTTTCCAATACCTTTGAAGGAAACTTCCAAAATAATGAAGAAGAAAAAAAAAGAGGTGTGTTATTATAAAGAAGGGAGCAATATTTTAATTTTAGATAATCCTCTCTAAGTAAAAATATGTGAAGTTACCCAAATCAGTAAAAATAGTCTGAGTTTTTGAATAATTTAATTTATTGAAGTATGGAAATAGAAGTAATTTAGCAGAAATAGAACTTGATTTGGAAATATTTATAAATGCTAAAGAATAGTCCGTCTAGTGTTTGAAGGTATAAAGCATATTTTAACCAAAATGTAAACTACTGGAAAATTTTTCAAAGGATGATTTATGTTACATAGAATTTAACAAACAGTTAAAGGAAATGAAGTATAACAACGCTAAGAATTTCACAGAAAAGATTAATACATCCATTTGGGTGTCATACTGTTCTTTTCAAAGACAAAGGATGCACATTAAGTTTCTAGTAAGAAAACGGTAGTGAATATTTAGTGCAGAGACATTTTCACTGCTGGTGGTCCAAATGATATGGTAACTTGGGTGTTTTAGAAATACTCAAAATCATTTGTCCTACTTTGATTGTCACTATATATTTTTTGTACATTGGTTGAAATAAATTGTTAAGTGATAATGGCACATAAAATTGTATTGTCATTAAGCTTTCAGTTTGTTTAATATATACAATTATTGATATTAGACCAATTTTATTTGGACTCATAGTGACCTTCCATCAGGTTTCCAATGCTATAAATCTTTATGGGAGGAGACTGCCCATCTCATGGATTTGAACCTCTGACCTCATGGTTAGCATCCTGACACGTTACACACTATGCCACAAGACCTCTGTCTGTCTCTCCCATTTCCCTTATCTTCCTCTCCCTCCCCATCTCTTTTTTTCAGTCTCATTGCTCCTTACTTGGACCAACTCGTAGCTGACCCTACGTTGAGTTTTCTGAGGCTGTAAATTGAATGGAAATAGATTGTCCATCTTTCTATTGCTGAACTGCTCATGGATGTAACTAAAACTACTGTGTAGTATTTAATGAGCTAAGTATTTTGTATAATCTATCTATCTATCTATCTATCTATCTATCTATCTATCTATCTATCATCTATCATCTTTCTGTCTAATTTCTAATAATGAATTGTAATAAGTTAATCTTAGATAAGAGGTAAAAAGTTATTACATCAAACAACTGGTAAGTAGGAAAAACAAATTTGAAACTAGATAAATTTTAATCCCATGAGCTCCATTCTTTGGACTTTAGTATAGACTTCTACTAGGTACATTAATTCATTGATGCTTTCCACTAATTTTGCTTTTGTGTATCATAGGAGAAATATTTAATTATTACTAGAATAAAAGGCATTTAAAAAAATCAAATAACTTCCCTGTGGTTTAGACACTGGAATAGAAATTAACTCTTTAATGTGTTGGAACTATTTAGATATAACACTGTGTAGACACTGCTCTTGAAAGGAAACATCATTCAAGACATTTAATTTAAATAAAAACACAAATGAAATGCTAAGAATGTTAGAAAAAGAGATAAGATAAAAGTACATTTATCCTGAGGAAACAACTCAGTGCTAATTATAGCCTTATAACGATTATATCATTTTATATTGACATACAATACATTTGAGTCATTCCTGGTGTCTCCATCAAGATGTATTCCTACCTTAACTGTGCTTATCTTTTTTTTTTTTAAGGCTGTAGTATGGAAGAGCGTATACAAAGTAATTTCTAGAATGCTTCAAGAAAATGAAAAATACAGACTCAGGCTAAATTCCCAGCAATTATCTAGTGAAAGTAAGTTGACACAATTTTTATTATAGTAAAGAGTTATAAAGTATTCATCTGAGAGCTGCACAGTGAATAAGGATGACAGGAAAAGAAATAATGCATTTAAATTGTAATATTGGGGAAGAGTAGTGACTAACAAGTGGACTGAAAAAGAACAAACCCATACCTTGGAGTAAGTGCAATCAGAGTGCTACTTAGAGGCAAGGATGGTGAAGTTTTGTCTTACATACTTGGGCATGTTGCTAAGAAAGTATGTTCCTTAGAAAGAGGCATCATTTTGGAAGGGTGGCAAGTCAATGAAAAAGAGAAAGACCCTTGACGAGATGGGTTAACACAACATCGAGGGACTGCAGCATGAAGTGATTGCAGCAGTGGTCTCAAGTATGTCAGAGATGATCAAGGTGCAACAAGATAGGACAGGATTCAGGTCTGTTGTTCATAAAGTTGCTTATGAGTTTTACTTGACTCGATAGCACCTAACAACAACAACAACAAGGGAAATTAGTTACCCTTGAATCATCTTAAACTTATAGTTTTCACAACATAACATTCAGTGTTCAAATTAAATGTGAATTTCAATGTCAACTTTGAAAATACAAATTTGAAACCTTATCCATATTAATCAGAAAAATGTTTTAGTTGCAATATAAAATTATAAATTCTTTGTCACTTTAGTTACTTCCTTTACATGCATACTGCAGTCCAATTAATGCATTTAACACAAACTGCCCTTGAGTTATGGCCCTGATGCCATTATTTCATTCTTGGAGTACAACTTATGAATTAAATAAACTGTGCTCTAAAACTACATCATTGTAGAGTTGATGCGGTGGTTAGAGTCACAACATTAAATGTAATCTAATATGTTGATTAAAATAATCAGGAAGTCTCCATTCTCAATTTTGTTTGATAAAATTTGTGTAACTAATAATGCCACATAAATTGGTAAATCAAAATAGTTACTCTTTTCCTTCACAGGCATCTTTTAATGCACAGAGCACCACAATGACCTAGTACTTATATGGTTTCTTAGAGTATAACTTGAAACCAGCTTGTCTGTGGCAGTCAATCAACCTACAGTGCATTAGTTTACAAAGCACCCACTCATAATAATTATAACAATGCCATTTTGTAAGCAGCATGACACTGGAAACTCATTACTGTTTATGTAATATTGCATCAGTAGTAGTGTAACTTATTTGCAATAATGGCATATATGCTAATGTTCACATTAGTGATTAATAGTTTAACTTCTTACCTAATTTTAAATTTGAGAGAAAAAAACTTTTTAAGAAGCAAATGAGGCAGGAGGGGAGGGGATTAGTGTAAAGAAAGCAGTCAGTGGTTTGTTTGGTTTTTTTTTTTAAATGGAAAAGATATTTTAATAAGTAGAGTAATGTAAAAAAATGCTTGGACATTATTCTGAGTGTAATCCTAATTACTGCATGCTGTCTGTCGATCTTGTCAGCTTCTTCTGGGCTTTTGTAAGACCCTTTCTATTAAAAATAAAGTGAGCTTGTAAGGATGACTTAACAATTTAAAATGATATATACTGTTTTCCATATCTAACAAAAACCAAAAGGCACCCTTCTAATTTGTTATTTTATGTTACAGTTTTAAACCAGATTATAAAACTTTCTTTAAAAACTAGTAATTCTATAAATGAACATATTTATTTCTTACTAGAAAGCCAGTGATAGAAGTCAACTTAAATTTTCCTTATATTTTATGTTGTTCTTAGATACAGATTATACAAGATGAACCTTGTCTTCTTCTGGTAAGAATCCATTTTGTTGCCAATTATAAACTGTATCCTTTACACCTCCCTAGGGTATTGTTGTTAGATGCCCTTGAGTCAGTTCCAGCTCTTGGTGATCCCAGGCACAGCAGAATGAACTGCTTCCTGGTTCTATGCCGTCCTCACAATCATTGTTATGTTTGAGCTCCTTGTTAAAGCCTCTATACTAGTAATTTTGTTGGGAGTCAAACTCTTTAATCAATACCCATTACTCTTCTCTGCCAGAGACCATTGGTGGCCTAGTCTGTAGAGAGTTTTGCTGTAAACCCAAAGGTTCAAAACCACCAGTGGCTCCGAGAGTGAAAGGTAGGAAATCTGATCCCATGTAACTGATTGCCCCAGAAACCCAATAGAAGGTCAGATTTCATTTGGTTCTAACTTGACAACAGTGAATGACTAACCTAGTTTCTTCCTCAAACTCAGTGATTACAACAAAATTGCTGTTCATTAAGGTCAAGTCAGCTCAGATTCGTGGTGATTACACATAACAAAGTGAAATACTGTGTGATTTCATAATTACTGGCATACTCAAGTTTGTTGTTCCTATTTGTCAGTCCATCTCAGTGTGGGTTTCTCTTGTTTTTGCTGATTCTAGACTTTGTCAAACACACTGTCCTTTTCTAGAAATTATTGGTCATATGAACTCAATTAATATATATTGAAATAAAAATTTCATTTAGATTCACTTTGAATTATGCCATTGAATCTATCTATGGTATCAGTCATTGTTTATCTTTCTATAGCTCCCCTTCATTCTCTTGCTCATTAAGCATGCTGCCAATAAGAAATACATCTCAACATCAAGAAAACAAAAGTCCTCACAATGGGACCACTAGGCAACATCATGATAGAAGATTAAAATTGTCAACAATTTCAACTTGCTTAGATCCACAATCAGCACCCTTGGTATCAACACTCTAGAAATCAAAAGATGTGTTGTTTTGGGAAATCCTTCTGTCAAGAACCTTTCTAAACTACTAAGGAACAGTGGTGTCAGTTTAAAGACTAATATGTACTTGATCCAGGCCATGATCTTTTTAATCACCTAGTACATGTCAGAGAGCTGGGCAATGAATAATGACAGAGGAATTGATGCCTTTGAATTCTGGTGTGGGAGAATAGTACTAAATATCTCATGGACTGCCAAAAGAAAATATAGATATATTTCGGAGTTATTGCTTCTTGGAGTCAAGGATGGCTAAGTTTCATTTCACATGTTGCTGGAGGAGGCTATTCCTTGAAGGACATAATGCTTGGAAAGGTGAAGAGGACCCATAACAAAATAGATTGACATAGTGACATTGACAGTGTGCTCAAGTATGTCAGAGATGATGAGGATGGCACAGGATAGGACAGGGTTCAGATCTGTTGTTCATTGGGTCATTATGAGTTTTACTCAACTCGATGGCCCCTAACAATAACAGCAGCAACAATTTTGTTCTCTTGCTTTTTAAGAATGCCATCATATTTAGTATGATTTTTACTACTACTCCTTAAAGAATTTTATTGCTTTTAGTATACTGAAGATTCTTTCTGTATCTCTGACCATATTTTCACTTTTAGTTTTACATTTTTTTTATTATTCATTTCAACGAAAATTTACTTTGGATTTCCATTAATTCGTTGTTGCACTTTTCTCCCCTCCCAACCCTCACGCCTAGTACACTCCCCTCTTGGAAAAGTAAAAGAAAAATTCTTTCATTGTTTTACAATCCCTCTCCACAGGTCCACTCCACTCTGCAGCCTTCGCTCTGGCTCTCGGTCATGACAAAAATACCTAATCACATATCCCTTTTAAACAGTTTTCTCCCTCATCTGTTTCAATGCAGTATACATTATTTAACCCATCTTTCTCCATCTCCCCCCCAACCCCGATGTCACTCCTGTTTTACAACAGTGGAACCATGCACTATTTATCTTTTTTGTGAGAGAGATACTTCACTAAGCATAATGTCCTCCAGGGTCACCCATTTTGAGTAATATTGCAGCGTAGTATTTCATTGTGTGAATATACCACAGCTTCTCTATCCATTCGTTTGTTTATGGACACTTGGGTTGTTTTCAACTCCTTGCTATTGTGAACAAAGCCGTGATAAACATGGGTGTGCATATATCTACTTGGTTGACAGTTATGGTCTCTTTGGGGTATATTCCCCACAGTGGAATTTCTGGGTTAAATGGTATCTCTATTTGCAACTTTTTGAGAAAGTGCCATACCACCTTCCACAGTGGTTGCACCATTTTACGCTTCCACCAACAGTGAATAAGGGTTCCAGTTTCTCCACAACCTCACCAGCATTTGTTGCTTGCGTTCTGTTATATATTGCTATTCTGATTGGGGTGAGATGAT